GAGAGCCTTCTCTGTGCGGGCACCGACCCTCTGGAACGAGTTGCCCCCGGAGATATGGTGGATCCCAGATCTGTGCACTTTCTGCTGTGCCTTAAAGATGTTTTTGTTTCATCAAGCTGGGCTGACCTGACCATATTTTTTAAGTTGTTTTAATTTTAAATTGCTAAATCATGGGTTTTTTTAATATGGGGGTGTTTTAACTGTGGGCCAAATTAATTTAATCAGTTTTTAATATTGTTTTAATTTTTGTATTTTCTGTATTTTATCTGCTGGCTGTTCACCACCCCGAGTCCTTCGGGAAAAGGGTGAAATAAAAATAAATAAATAAATAAATAAATAAATAAATAAATAAATAAATAAATGAATGAATGAATGAATGAATGAATGAATGAATGAATAAATAAATAAATAAATAAATAAATAAATAAATCATCATCATCATCATCATCAACATCTTGGCTGTTCCTAGCACTGCATCCTTCTATACAGAAAGCTCTGATGTCGTCCCTGGGATCTGTTGGAACCACTGTCTCAGTAGAGGAGTCACAGTCCCAAATGCTCCTACCACCACTGGAACCACAGGCTGAGGCCAGGAACAGCTGTAAATATTTCCTCTCCAGAACTTCAATCCTGGCATAGATAACAGATAGATAGATAGATAGATAGATAGATAGATAGATAGATAGATAGATAGATAGATAGATAGATAGATAGATGATAGATAAGAGAGGGGGAAAGGGAGAGAGAGATGATGATGATGATGATGATGATGATGATGATGATGATGATGATGATGAATGGACAGACAAACAGATAGACAGATGGAATTGCTGTGTTCTGGGAACCCAAAAATCCTCTTATCTCCTAACCTTTTGAATTAACAGTCGTTGGACTGTTTCTCTGTGTTAAGATTGGCAGACACTTTTAAATGTTCATACAATGTTTCCATGTGGACTATGCACTGCCAGTTTCTGCCTACTAGATTCATCTCTTACGTTTCCCCTTCTAACAATTACAGGATTAAAAAAGAGAACTTTGAATATATAGAGAACCATCTAAAAACCAACAGCATGTACTACCATCTACTTCTTTTGGGCACCTTCTGCAAGAGTATCATCACTGATCAAGACTAGTCTAGCTATGTGAACTCATTGCTTTGAAAGAAGAAAAGATTGAAGCACAACAAAAATTGACCTGCAATGGCTGACAAGTAGCTTAAGGTAATTTCCTGGTATGTGAAAACTATCCTGTTCAGGCATTTATGTATAAGTATTAAATTACATAAGGATGAAACTGACATGAGAATTAAAGTTTTATTTTCTTGACTTCTTTTAAAGGTTTTTAATAAAAAGAAAGTAATGGCTTTCAAAATAAGATTTTTGTCATGCAGTCTATTGATCCAAAGTTCTGTATCACTGGCTGCATTTCAATATCATAATAAACTAATTTCGTCTACCACAGGTTCTTCCAATGTATTAAAGAAGGACTGCCTGGGAATTTTGACAATTATCGTTGAACACATCTGGCAAGTATCAAACTGGGAAAGGTTATTATAATAAACCATAGTTATACCATCCTTCAGTTCCTACGTTTCTACTTTTCCTCCACAGACTCAGAGGCCGTGAAAGATTCTGAAACTTTTGCTTAAATAACCTTGTGTGATCAACAGCTGACAAGCTGCTGTTACCTTTAGTGGTGGTTTACTAAAGTAAACTCCAAATCATTTCTTTTACAGATCCATAGAGGAAAATTCCATTCTGCATATTTAATAAGTAGTATATACCGAATTTTTTGGAATATAGGACACACTTTTTTCTCTCCTAAAAGAGGCTGAAAATTTGGGTGCATCTTATACTCCGAATGTAACCCCACGCGGTGCCCAAAATGTCTACCTGGAATAGCTGCTGCATTCTCTGACCCCTTCTGCGCTTTGCCTGCTTTAGTCACTGGAGCTCCCTCCAAGGATCAGCTGTGTTTTTGAAGCTGTTTTCCAGCCCCAGTGTGAGCAAAGTCATCTTCCGGGCTTTGCCTGCTTTTCTAATTGCTGCTCTTTCTGACAATCAGCTGTGTTTTAGAAGTACAGTCCCAACCAGCCCCAACCTCAAAACCAGCAAGCAAACTAATGTGCTGGGACTAGCCAGATGAATACCTGGTAGGCAGAATTTTTTTCCTCCCCAAAAATTAAGGTGTGTCTTATACTCCGGTGAGTCTTATACTCTGAAAAATATGGTAATAATAGGTAAAAAACTGTTCAAAGTCTGAGCAGTCATAAAGGAAACACAAACTGATTAGTAGACTCATATTGCAATGAACAAGGTCATATATTTCACAGCTACTAAGATTGTTGGCCATGCAGTTACAAAGATAGCCAGGGAAATGATTGAAGCCTGAGAAACAGGCCCTTTGTCGGTCAACATGAGTGCTGTTTTAACACCAGTTTATCAAGTACTTATGTGCCAAGGACTTAGAAGCACAGGAAACAACAATTGCCAATTGCCAGCCATCAACACATCAATCAACCACATAAGGAAAGCACCACATAAATATAAAGCATAGAATAACACAAAGCACATATTCTGATAGAGCAGTGGTTTTCAACCTTCCTAATGCCGCGACCCTTTAATACAGTTCCTCATGTTGTGGTGACCCCCAACCATAAAATTATTCCTAAAACCATTGAAAAAATGTGTTTTCTGATGGTCTTAGGCAACCCCTGTGAAAGGGTCATTCGACCCCCAAAGGGGTCCCGACCCACAGGTTGAGAACCACTGTGATAGAGAGAAGTTCTCTTGAGAATGGGCTCCAGCATGAGTCTGAAAGCTCAGGATACTAAATCTCTGGTCCTGGTGACTGACTCAGATTGTATCCTGCACATTATACTGTGACACATGTATTTGCCTTTATTTGCATTCAGTCTTTATTAAACTGCATCAGGATTTTCACCCACAAATTCATGAAAAAAATGTATATTAATTGGCTTCCCCATCTCTTATAATTGTTGGGGTTTATCCAAACACCTCTCCTCTCCAAGCAATCCTTATTTTTTATGATAGTAGTTCCAACTTTTTCCAACTATCTGATCATGACAATAATGATGATAATGATTTCTTCTTCTCTTTTTTTTTCCTGCTGCCTCTTTCCCTCTATTGCCACTTTTTTTTTAATTTTCTTTTTAATTTTTCTCAAAATTCTCCTACTGCATTTCAAACTCCTCTGCATACGCTTGTTAACTTGGGGAAAAATGGGGAGGCATATTGGTGAAGGCACAAAAAGCTGCAGAAATGCTCTACTTGAGTGCCAACAAATAACTCAGTGTGTTAGCTTACAAAATCATGACACATGATATGGTTTAATAAACATGACATTTGTAAACCTTCCTGAGCCTTTAGAAGTGATCGCATGCATGCATAAAGAAATAAGTAGGTCTGCCAAGCTTTTTTCAATGAGCGTGATCAATTCCATTGACCATTCCAACTCTTTGCAAATATTCCCTTTAAAAATGTGGACCTGTAATCTTCACCAGTGTGGGAAATAAATATTTTTCATCAACCAGAATGATACCAATGAACAATATACAGTATTCAGAAAATGTTTACTCTGCCTTGACCAATGACATGCATTTTGTTTTCCTTTCTTAACCACTTTGCACCCTTGCAAAGTACAGTATTTTCTTAGGATTGCTTTACATAGGAGGAAAGAGAGAAAGAGAGCAATTTTTCCTGTATAAAAAAAATATCACCCCATATTTCTTAACTTTATATTTTCAGCAATTCTTATCCAAAAAGAACCTCTGATTAGCCAGATGTTTAGGATGGATTTGGCATTTTTATATATCTATTGAGTTCTTCCCAAGGACATGGTTAGGCAAATATTGTTCTTGGATGGTGTTAAAGTATCAATACAGCGCCGAATAAAACTTCCTTTTGCAATTGATGGATAGTCTTTTTTTATTGCTAATGATGGTGTTCAAATGGTACTTCAGAGGTTTTGGGATTACACCCAAGGCACCTACTACTAGTGACACTACCTTTGCTTTCTTTTAGCACAGTCATTTGACTTCTATTTGCAGGTCTTCCTATTTTCTGATTTTCTCCAATTCTTTTTCTTCTATTCTGCCATCCAATTATTATTTATGGGTAGTCTACAGTTATATAGGTAGTCCTCGATTTACAACCATAATTGAGCCCATTTTTTTTTTTTTGCTAAGGGAAACAGTTGTTAAGTTAGTTTTTTAACCTTTCTTGCCACAGTTGTTAAGTGAATCACAGCAGTTGTTCAGGTAATCGCATGGTTGTTAAGTGAATTTGGCTTTCCCATTGACTTTGCTTGTCAGACGTTTATAAAAGGTGATCCCTTGACCCAGGGACACTGCAACTATCATAAATGTAAGTCAGTTGCCAAACATCTGAATTTTGATCACATGATCATGGGGATACTGCAACAGTCGTAAGTGTAAAAAAATGGTCATATGACTTTTTTCAATGCAGTTGTAACTTCAAATGGTTATTAAATGAATTGTTGTAAGCTGAGGAGTACCCATACTCAGCTGGGTACTCAGCTAAAATGGATGGAAATTTAATAATTTAATCATTCTTAATCATTAAGTTGTTGTTATTATTATTTACTTTATTCATTAAACATGAAACTCGGTCAACCGGACATTTAAAAATGTATCACAAATACCATTGACTGGGCCTGATGGTTGATACGGGTTGCTGCCAGCATCCTAGGTATCAACCAAGGTTTTTTAAAAATTATTATTATTATTTACTTCATTCATTAAACATGAAACTCAGTCAACTGAACATTCAAAAATGCATCACAATTACTATTGACTCGTGCTAATGGTTGATACGAGTTGCTGCCAGCTTCCTAGGTATCAATCAGTTGTTGTTGTTGTTGTTGTTGTTATTGTTGTTGTTGTTGTTGTTGTTGTTGTTATTATTATTATTATTATTATTATTATTATTATTATTATTTCACTTGTATACACTACTTACCTTTGTTGCCACTTGATCCGGGATGCAATCTATTCTTTCAGGAAGAGGAATAACTGGACAAGTAGGTGAAAAGGCTAGAAATAAATCAATGTATTATATCAGTCATAGAATAACAACAACAATACAAATAAATAGGCAATGCAAATGCAACAATCAAGTATTTTGTCAGTTAACAAATCTGAGTAATCCTCACTAGATCCTATGGTAAAAAATAGTGTTATTTCAATTATTCATTTTAACCAGATTCAGGTACTGTACAAAACAAACCCTACTTTGAATGTGATATTCAGATGCTTACTAGAATTGTGGTGATTCATTCAGAGACTGTGCATGTATCAGTATATACAGATATCAGACAGAAAATACATTTAATTTTTAGAAGAGAATCAAATAGGTTAATGGAACTTTCTTTTCTATCTATGAATCTCCATGCCTTATTAGCATCCTTATTTTGCAGAACATACTAAATCTGAATTAAGTCCAGTATGTTGAGTGACTTTACCTAAATTAGTTCTGGATTGCAGACTAAGCTTGTTTGCTGATTTGTTTATTTCCATTTAGAAAATAATCCAACTCTCAAATTTCAACTCTGAGCAGCTTACATACACTTAATACAAAATCAGCTTCCCAAAAGTCCCAGCTCAGAATCATTCAGTATTAAAGCCATTCCATTCACCAACCCAACCTGATGCTGAGGAGAAAAGCCAGGTCTTCATGGTCTACAAAAGACCAACAGGGTTGGAGCCACTTGCAACCTGGTGCTCAAGCCCTCCAACATGCCAAAGGCAAAGCTGCCAGATGCCACTTTTTTTATTGAAAAATGAACCTGATCAGATATAAAATGCCATGTCCATCCAGACAAGAACCATATTTAATTATATTAGTGAGAGCGCCCTATTGCGAGAGTCTTTAACAGTGGACCATCTGCAATCCAATACCACATGCAGATGTACACAGCTGTTCTTGCTCCACCACTGGTTTACCACATAGTATGCCATAAAAATGGCATTCTTCGCATTTCGGTCAACGTTCAACTCTCAGTCCAATTTCTGTTACATAAATTTGCAACTCCAATATTCTTTGTGGCCTCAACAATCTCCAACATTGACTCTGGCCTCCTGAGCTCACATCAACATACACATACAATCTTCATTTTTTATGTAGCCTTCTGGTCAGATTAGCTCTCAGTGGCTAGCTGGACTAGTGCCTGAAGTTTCCTTGGCAAGATTTCAGAAGTGGCCATTGCTTCCTTTCTAGAGCTGACAGGCTCAAAGTCACCCAGTTGCCGTTGTGCCTAAGGCAGGATAAGAATTTGCAGTGTTCTTGTTTCTACTCTGGTGCCTTTAACTACTACACCAAACTAGTTTTCAACTACTGCTACAGCCTGTCATTAACTCAGCCTTTGATCTCAGTACCATCACAATAAATAAATAACATCACTGTATTAATAACTGTTATCATGCCTATTTTTAAACAAATTCCACTTCTTACCCTTACAGGCTATTTTCAATTACATAATACACAGTGCACAGAAAATGTGGGTTAATGTATTATTTTATTGATTACATTTTTGGAAATAAATAGTTGAAATAAATGTTATAAACAAATGAATGTTACGATTGTCTAATATACCTTTCTTTTTTTTTCCTGCTTAATAAAATGCAATAATGTTATTCTGAAGTCTACATATTCTAATGTTAGCATAAGCACATGTCCGCATAATTTGATTACCCATTTTAAAGCAATTATACAAATAAATAACTTGGTTCTGTCCCAGAGTATTTTGTACATACTTTCATCTAGGGAGCATTTTATCATAATCTGTTTATTCTACCATGATACATTACTTTTGCAGAGACTAGCAACTGTTTCACTGCATAGTTGAAACAAATGACTTGCATTTGAGCAATTTGTCTGAAATATGCAATGAACCAGATTACCAGTTTTTGTAAAATAATTAATCATAAGTATTTATAAAATTTGTGAGTATGTCATCACACACACACACACAATGTTATAGGGTATTGTATATATATATACATATATATGTATGTGGCTAGGAAATAATGATGTATAACTGAATGAGATGTGAGCATTTTAAATGTTATCACAGTAAAATTACAAATAAAGTTCTGATATTTAACTCATACTAAAAATTGCCACAGTATATTGTTTATTATTCTTTTATTTTAAATGCTTTTCTATGCCCAATGGGTGAAAATTGTTATTTTATCCTTTTTATCTATATCTGACACTCTTTCTATAGGCCTATGGTCAAGCAATATTTTAGTTATTTACTTCAACTTCCAGAAAACTTTAGATATATTGTTTAGCCCTCAAAGGTTCCTTTGGTTAATTACAGGAATATAACTTTATGCATTCTATAAGGTAAAGGTAAAGATTCCCCTTGCACATATGTGCTACTTGTTCCCGACACTAGGGGGCGGTGCTCAGCTCTTCAAAGCCGAAGAGCCAGCGCTGTCTGAAGACGTCTCCGTGGTCATGTGGCCAGCATGACTTAACGCCAAAGGCTCACGGAATGTTGTTACCTTCCCACCAAAGGTGGTCCCTATTTTTTCTACTTGCAATTTTTACATGCTTTCAAACTGCTAGGTTGGCAGAAGCTGGGACAAGTAATGGGAGCTCACCCCATTACACAGCACTAGGGATTCAAACCGCTGAATTGCCGACCTTTCAATCGACAAGCTCAGCATCTTAACCACTGAGCCACTGTGCCCCTTTTATGCATTCTATATTATTATGAAAATTATAACAATAAGCAAGTAAATAGTAAGTAAGCATTACATTCCTTTTGGCAAATGCCCTCCCCCCTCTTATTTATTTATTTATTTATTTATTTTTGGAAAGTTGTTTCATACAAGGGCATTACTAACTCAACTGCACCTAAGGGCTCATCTCCAAAGCTCAGTTAATGTGGTTTCTGTTCTGGCTAGCTGTTAAAGATGTCCTTATTTTCTATGCAGGGAAGACAGCTTCCCCCACCCTTCCATTTTCACTGTCATCAGTTGTTGGAAAACAGATCCATCAATACAGCACTGTTGTAATGTCAACGGTTTGATGGATGAATGGACTCACAAGTTTAAATTTTTTTCTAAAACTCCCTCCACCTCTTCACCCACCTCTTCACCCAGTCTAAAAACAAAGTTCTGAAAAGCAACAGGTGAAAATGAGAGACTTTACCCATCAGATCTGGGCACCTGAGTAGGATCACACCAAATAGCTATCAGAGCAAATATACCTGATGATATATATGGTTGCAGAGAGCAACTTTTGGTTTGTCAGCCTCTATCTGAGGTGCTTTTGAACATGTGTTTATTGTTTTTCCAGAGGAGTGCTAATCTTCTGTGAAATCTATTTGTGTTAGATCATTGTAGTCATTAGTAGTACAACTAGGGATTGTTGGGCATGAGCCATTGCTGTTAACAAAGACTGAGCCAAAGAATGTGTTAAAGAGGTTGCTTTAACTGCTTCATCATTGCATTCTTTAACTTTAGGTCCTTTTAGGGGTGGGATGGATCTCGAGTCTTTAAGTTTGTTTTTTACAAAATTATAAAAGGCGCGATTGGATTTTGTGTGCAGAAGGTTTTCTTCTTGTTTGATGTGGTAATTGGTGCATTCAGTCTTTATTTGGTGGCATATATTTTTGTAGCGGCTTTTAAAGCTACATAGCAGTTTTGTTTTTACACCAAAGGGATTTTTTTTTTTTTTTGGATTGGAGCTTTCTTATTGATATGGGTAATTTGTTTTTCCTGGTTTTGGTGGTGATTAGTGGTACATATAGTTTAATAACTCTATTGACTTCAAGCAAGAAAATATTATAATGGTCTTCATCAGTGTTACAGTTGGAATACTGGGTTTGTAGTCTTCTGCCAGAAGGGTAAATGCACATTTTAAAAGCACCTTGTGCAACAGCTGGCAACCAAATTGTGGGAGGGTTGCATGAGCTAATTCTATCTCTGTTGCTTTACTATGCAGTTCCTCAGCCATCAACTATGGTTTGGGCTGTTTTTCTAGCAAGCTAGTAAGCCTATGTTAAAAAACAACAACAACATAACCTCTGAGTAGTAGTTGATGAATACCATATGTGGGTGGGGATGAAACATGGGAGCAGAGGTAAATAAAATCACTCTTTTTCCTGCAGAATCCCTATCACTCCCTCTGATCTGCTACCATTCATGTCCCTGAGTTGAGGATTAGCTAGTGACTTGACTGATATTTATTGATAGATAACTTATTTGAAATACCCGAATCCTTCCATTGCTCAGAATATAATGACCAGAGGCAGTACCCAAGAACTAGAAAGTTAGATGATACCTTAAAGTCAACCTAAATTGGTTAATAGCTGCCAAGCTGATCCAACTCTCTAGGTAATGCTATTGCAAAATGGTCAGGAAGTGTGTCAGATTGTATTTGTGGTAAAATTGCCATAGTTTATTATTTATTTAACAAGGAAAACAGTATTTTAGGCTGTCTCAGAAACAGATTGAAGACCAGGTAAGGCAACCATATGGAAACTTGGCAGAAAAAAAAAAGAATAGCTAGGGTTATATATGTAACTTGATTAGGTGCAAATAGAGAAATATTCTTGTCCATTCTATGACTTAGAATAGATAAGACCACTTTTTTTATGGACTCCATTTAACTCTTGGAGGGAAGTCATGAAATGGGTGGAATTGCATCATACCTACATGAGACTGGGGCTTAGAAAGAATTTTGGTGGGTTTTTTTTGAATTTGTAACCCCACTACCCAGTGGTGAAATGTAAAATTTGTCACTACTGGTTCTGTGGGCGTGGCTTGGTGGGTGGGTAAGTTTAAAAGAAAAAAAAAGCCTCTGATGATCAGGCAACTCAGCTGGGATTGTCAGAGCCTTTTAAAAGCATTTTTTTTACAACCTCTTCAGCCGAAGAGATTGTAGAAAAAATGCTTTTAAAAGCCTCTGATGATCCCAGCTGAGCCGCGCGATCATCAGAGGCTTTTTTTTTAACTTTTAAAAGCATTTTTTCAGCTGAAGAAAAAATGCTTTTAAAAGTAAAAAAAAAAAGCCTCTGATGATTGTGTGGCTCAGCTGGGCATGGGGGGGTGGGAGTGGGCAGGGATTTTTGCTATCAGTTCTCCGAACCACCTGCTGCTATTGCTACCGGATCAGGCAATCCAGTCCGAACCGAGAGCATTTCACCCTGTATCTACCCTATTCTAATTCCCATGGGTTTCATATTTCAAAATAGCAAATGATCAAAGGCAGAAGAAACACAAAAGCTCTCCCAAAGGCATGATTAGATGTTCACACCTATCTGAAAAACATGTGAGAGATATTTAAGTATTCTTTTAAAAGATCTTGTGTGAGCCATTGAAGCCATTGAAGCATTCTTCTGGCTATAAGTCAAGGAACTGTGAATAACATTACCTTTAAGACCAGAATAACCCGTTGCTAGAAGTGCAATCAAAGCGATGGTTACGATGAGTAGCAAAAGGAAGAAAGTCATCAGGGAGATTTCTAATCCAGTGAATTTCTTCTTTCCCATCTAGAGAGGAAAAGAGAGAAATAGATATTAACATATGTGTGTGTGTGTGTGTGTGTGTGTGTGTGTGTGTTTGTATAACATGCATCATAAAATCATCTCAAGCATTTGCTTTCAAAACATGTCTCCTTTCATCCAAATAATCAAAACATAGCCAACAATACTAAACCTGTGTTCTTCTTTACCACAGAACTTGCAAGAAAACATTTTGTTTATTATGAATTACAACAACTTTGTTCAAACTAGCATTTTAAGATGTTTATTTTTAATCACTAAAGCTTCTTTTAAGATTAAGATTTAAGGTTAAGATGTAGACCTCTTCTTTCAATGAAAGCAAAATCACATTTATATGTGTAGGGGTTTTTTTTCCTGTTATTAGTCCCTTTCTTGCCAGTTGATAATCATTGAAGAAAAACTTACTGAATGCACATGCACATATTACATGTACATAGAAACAGAATAGACCAACCAAAATCTAAAATAAAACCTACCAATGAGGGGAAAAAACCTTTAGCAAAAGCAATAGCAATATATATAAGCACTTAGACTTATATATTGCTTCACAGTGCTTTACAGCCCTCTCTAAGCAGTTTACAATGTCAATATATTGCTCCCAACAATCTATGTCCTCATTTTACTGACCTCAGAAGGATGGAAGGCTGAGTCAGCCTTGAGCCTAGTGAAATTCGAACTGCCAAACTGCTGGCAATTGGCAGTCAGCAGAATTAGCCTACAATACTGCATTCTAACACTGCGCCACCATGACCCTTTAGCTTGAGATTTATAAAAAATAAATGTTAGCAACTGCTCCTCTTGGCTGAAATACAGTACTTAAGGACAAGGATTGATTAGTAATCTTAGGAATTATGCCCATAACTGACAAACTATCTTTCCAAGAGGTAGGCTCCTCAGCCATCTGCTCAACCTTATAAAAAACAACAACATGGCACAATCAGTGTTTAACCGTAAGTAGCATTACAACCCACTCATACTTATATCAAGCATTTTTAGATCAAAAAGGAATCAGTTAGGTTACCATTTGCCTTGTTTGATTTTTCTTAGTAAGGTAAGAGGAGCTACATTTTTCTTTGCTTGTTATTGACAAATTATCCAACTTTGTTTAAATTAGTTTTTAAAACATTCCAAATGTTTAACTATTTCAGCAATGAAATAAATATATTGGCTTTGTGGTTTCCCTTCCCTCTCTCCTCCCAAGTTTGGCTACACTTGCAAACTGTTATGAATTGTATGTTACCATTACCAACTGTGAAGAGCAGTTTAAAGATCATAAGTAAATTATTGACCAAGGTGTAAATAGTTTTCTGAACTTGTGTTGACAGTATACCCTTCCATAAAATAGTTTTATATTATTTTTTTACACACAATAGATACAAACTTAAAGTGAACCACTCCAAACTCGATTGGATATCAGAAAATATGACTTCAGCAACAGAGTAGTCAACGCCTGGAATGCACTACCTGACTGTTTCCAGATGCCCTGGGAAATTTTGTATCTATAGATAGATAGATAGATAGATAGATAGATAGATAGATAGATATAGATATAGATATAGATATAGATATAGATATAGATATAGATATAGATATAGATATAGATAGATATAGATATAGATATAGATATAGATATAGATATAGATATAGATATAGATATAGATATAGATATAGATATAGATATAGATATACCTGACTCTGTAGTTTCGTCACAAACCCCCCAAAATTTTAACCTTAGGCTGGCTACTATTGACCTCACTCCATTCCTAAGAGGTTTGTATGGGTCTGCATAAGAGCACCAGCGTGCCTACTTCCCTGTCCCAATGTTTCCTCTATTTGTATCTATTTTATGTATCCAATCCATGTTTATACTTATTACCTAATACGTTCTTGACAAATAAATAAATAAAAATAAATAAAATAAAGTTTCATTTCTGTTTCCTGCAATTTATTTTGTCTTCGATTTCTGATCAAACTTTTTTTCTCTGCATCAACTCATCTCAGTATCCAGTTAGGATATTATTAACGATTGCAAAACTCTGATTCACCACAAGCAGGAAGTAAAGTGGTAGAATTTTCTGTCTGTCTCTGCTGCTGTACAGATTTTTGCAACTCAGAGCCAGTAGCCCTAGAATAACAGAGAGCAAAGTTGCACAATACCTTTGGACGTGGAGAGAATTTCCTGCTCTTGTTATTACAACATATATTTCCTCCTCAAAGAATTGCAAAACAGAGTTTTGATTGGTTTAGTACACTCCTCCCTTGATTTTCATTTTCTAAGCATATAAACATAAAAATTTTAAAAATTCTATGGTTGATGAACATGCAGATTTTTCTATAGGTTAGGTTATTCACAAGGCAAGACTGAAAGCATGAAATATTAAAAACATTTTTGAAGAAAAGATAGTGTGGCATCAAGTTACATCTATTTTCTGTAGAAAATGGCTATTGGTGACCAAACAATATTCTCAAAGTTTCAAATAAAAGAGGAATACATGAACGTTCTCTGTTTATGAAGATTATGCCAACAGAGGTGCACATTGGCTACTTAGAACATTAAAGAAAGTGAACAATATGATTTTTTAATGCATACCTTTAAAGGCTCTTGGTTTCCTTCATGTAAGACTGCTAGATGGTTTTGTGAAAGGAATCATTTACTTTGTGGCCTCTTGTTAATATACTGACCTGCTATCAATGTATTACATTATATTTTAACTAGGCTATCATTTGAAGTTAGGCATATGCCAGCAGATTGCTTGGTTCTTTTTAACTGCTGCAGATAGGGAATAGCTAGTTAATTAATAATTTTTTTTATCCTAGGTGTCTGTCATGCAGCATTTAGCACGTACGAGTACAGAGTACCTGTGGATCTTTTTTTGCTTTTTGTCCTGCTATAAGCTGCCCTATCAATCCATTTTCTTATTCTCCCTGGACTTTTGCTTTTGTTATCAGCATTTCTGCCATGAACCTCAGTATAAAATAATTAAAATTTTATAAAGGTTCAGAAAGCAGAGTTTAAAGTAGTTGGCAATGGTATTAATGTTTTTTTTTTAATCACTGCTTTTCTTTCATGGCTATTGTCATCTGCTGATTAGTGGGAATATAAACGGTAATAGGTACCTGCTTGGGTGAGGAAATGTAAATAAGACTTGTTGGCTATGACTTTTTTAAATCCCTCTAACTATTCATTTTATTTATTTTTATCCTACCTTTATTATTTTTAGAAATGATTCAAGCTGTTAACATAACTAATGGTCCTTCCCTCTCCTATTTTCTTCACAGCAACAACCTTGTGAGGTGCGTTAGTCCGAGAGGGTGTGTCTGACCCAAAGTCACCCAGCTGGTTTTCATGCCTAAGGAATGACTAAAAATCCCCATCTCCCTTTTTCTCACCGGGTGCTTTTGCCAAACTGAGTTCCAAGATGCACTCAAACTAGTATAGCAAGAAGGCTTACTGAGCACTGGCATTGGCTTATAAGACCAAATTGGCTTATAACAAAAACTAAAGAAAAACAGAAAATAGACATGACAAGAAGTATTTACATGGCCAATACAATAAAAAATAAAATAGTAGGCAAAGCAGATAATAACCTGGCAATGGCTAAGATTGGAAAGGTTGAAGAAAGATACAGAGGGGCTAATTCTAGCTGCATAAGACCAAGCCTTAAGAACAAATGCATAGAAAGCCAGAATTGAGAATATAGCAAGACAGCAAGTGCCACCTCTGCAAAGAAGCTGAAGAAACAGTGGCCCACCTCAGGGGTGGGTTCTACTTACCTTTACTACCGGTTCGCAACAGGGCCGTGCGTGAGCACATGCATGCACTCTTCTGCACATGTGCAGAAGCTTCTGTGCATGTGCAGAAGCATTTTGATGACATCAGGGTCAGTGGGCGGAGCCTCCCACCGGTTTTACTACCGTTTCTATAGAACTGGTGAGAACCAGGGGCAACCCACCACTGGCCCACCTGGATAGCTGCTGGAAGAAGATCACCCAGACTGACAACAAGCAACGGCATGACAAGGTAGCAACAATGGTGTATTGGAAGATCTGCAAGAAATATCTTTTGCCTGCAGGCAAGAACTAAAATAGAGAAAGTCATAGAAAACAAAGAAACTAAAGTGCTCAGGGACTTTAGAATGTTAGCAGACAGGCACCATCACACTACAGGTTTAACAATTGTGAACAAGAAGACAAAAACCTCTGGATAATGATAATTGGAGACAGCTTTATATTTTGTTATCAAGAAGATAACAAAATAAAAAGAGCTGCAAATATAAATAGAATGACTGGCAAAAGAAAGAAAAGGTAGTACCAATAGTAATGGGTGCCTTGGGTGCAATCCCAAAACAACTGAAACACTTCTTGATCAGCATGAAGAAATTTACCACCAGTTAACTGCAAAAGACAGCTTTACTTGGAAGAATTTACATCCTGAGATGATACTTTTGAACACCATCAAACATCTATATCTGCCTATCCGAAGTCCTTGGGAAAGTCTTGAGAGGTGGACAAAAATGCCAAACCCAGTATGAACATCTGGCTGAACATGTGATGAACTAATAATAAACAAGGGATGTGGTGGCTCAGTGACTAAGACGCTGAGCTTGTCGATCGAAAGGTCAGCAGTTCAGTGGGTCGAATCCCTAGTGCTGCGTAACAGCATGAAGAAATTTACCACCAGTTAATCAGCATGAAGAAATTTACCACCAGTTAACTGCAAAAGACAGCTTTACTTGGAAGAATTTACATCCTGAGATGATACCTTTAAACACCATCAAACATCTATATCTGCCTATCCGAAGTCCTTGGGAAAGTCTTGAGAGGTGGACAAAAATGCCAAACCCAGTATGAACATCTGGCTGAACATGTGATGAACTAATAATAAAGAAGGGTTTTCGTGGCTCAGTGACTAAGACGCTGAGCTTGTCGATCGAAAGGTCAGCAGTTCAGTGAGTCGAATCCCTAGTGCTGCGTAACGGGGTGAGCTCCCATTACTTGTCCCAGCTTCTGCCAACCTAGCAGTTCGAAAGCACATAAAAATGCAAGTATAAAAATAGGAACCACCTTTGGTGGGAAGGTAACAGCGTTCTATGCACCTTTGGTGTTTAGCCATGCCAGCTACATGACCATGGAGACGTCTTTGGACAGCGCTGGCTCTTGGGCTTTGAAATGGAGATGAGCACTGCTCACTAGAGTCGGGAACGACTAGCACATATGTGCGAGGGGAATCTTTACCTTTACCTAATAATAAAGATGACTTGCTTTCCTCTTTCTATCAGTTCATCTTTTTAGATAGAGTTCTTGAACAATAGAAAAAATTCATAAAATCATAGGAACTTTCTAGTCCAACCTCCTTCCCAGATAGGAATCGTCACATCATTCTGGTCAAAAGAGTCTCCAGTCTTTTTTTTTTTTTTGAAAACCACCAAAAAAGGTTTGGAGGGCCCACAACTTCAGGAGACAGGGTGTTCCATTCCTTAATAGTCCTTATAGTCAAGGAGAATAGCCCATCATTCAGGGCAGCAATGTCTATTGGAGTGAGGAATATGCAGGCATGACACGTACAAAACAGATGGCTTCCATGATGATGTTATGTCTATCATCTGGCTGATTTTTTATCACCCTACCCTTCTGCCAATATGAATGCTTCAACAAACCTCTGAAAATGGCTCTAGAGGCAGAGTAATCCATCTAAATCCAATGTTACTCTACAAATTGCATTGTTATTTTCCAGGACAGATTTATTTATTTCCTCTGTTATTGTATGTCAGACATTCAGCCTATTCTCTATGTGTCTTAATTGTGCTTTAAAGAACAAAAGATTACTTTTTTCAATATTCTCTGCCATTTTATTCTGGCTTTCAAATTTTCATTCCCCTTTCTTTATCTACACATTTTCTTTGTGCTTTTGTACCTTTCCATGTTATCTTTATCCTTTTTTAGCACAAAATGGAAATGGGGAAGGCAGGTAACAAATGTTCTTTACTGAAAAAAGTAAATATAAATTAGGGGAAAAAATCCATTACGGATGATACCCACAACAAATTAAAACATGACCAGCATACTATCGTAGAGAAAAGCCACTGCAGTCAAAATGTTAAGGTTACTTAGATATTTTCCTGCAATTTTAAGATTGGTTTGTTAGTTTTATAGGACTTTGGAGACATTTATGCAGCTTTCCTATTAGATGGTCCCAATGCATATCCAACCTATAACTCAGAGTTTGAAATTAAAGGTAAAGGTAAAAGTTCCCCTTGCACATATGTGCTAGTTGTTTCTGATTCTAGAGCAGTGGTTCTCAACCTGTGGGTCGGGACCCCTTTGGGGGTTGAATGACCCTTTCACAGGGGTCGCCTCAGACCATCGGAAAACACATATTTTCAATGGTTTTAAGAATAATTTTATGGTTGGGGGTCACCACAACATGAGGAACTGTATTAAAGGGTCGCAGCATTAGGAAGGTTGAGAACCACTGTTCTAGAGGGTAGTACTCATCTCCATTTCAAAGCCAAAGAGCCAGCGCTGTCAGAAGATGTCTCCATGGTCATGTGACCAGCATGACTAAATGCCAAAGGTGCATGGAACACTGTTACCTTCCCACCAAAGGTGATCCCTATTTTTCTACTTGCATTTTTTATGTGCTTTTGAACTGCTAGGTTGGCAGAAGCTGGGACAAGTAACGGGAGCTCACCCTGTTATGCAGCACTAGAGATTTGAACCGCTGAACTGCTGACTTTTCAATTGACAAACTCAGCCTCTTAGCCACTCAGCCACCGTGTCATTAAGTGTGTGCATTTACAAATCTATTACACCTACCTGATGTCAGCAAGGCAAACTGCCAAGAGCCTTAATCCCTTACATTTCACTAGCTCTGAATATTGTCCACTTTACTACAATTTGTGTTATACCTAATTGAAAGATAAAAGTTCAGGCACAGAACGTTGGATTAAGTACAAAGATTTCCTTTTGTTATTCCTAATGAGACTGAATACTATTGGACAGCTTGACTGAAAACTGTTATGAAGAGTCCTTGATGCTCTCTGAGCTTCATCATTTTTCTACAGACATTTCATTATCCAAACTAGGTAACATCATTAGTACTGGTAGGGAGTGGGTTTGCTTTCATTTTATATTCTACAGCAGTGGTCCCCAATGTTTGCAGGCAGCCTAGGGGCCTGGCGAGAGGAG